TATGAACTGTTCAGTCTTACACAGTGATGAATACGAGGATGGACTGAATATGAAAGAGTGATGCCAGATTTGTGAAATCTTGCATTCATTAATTTTAATTTTTCTTATTATCCGCTTTTTGTAAAAGGTAATATGATATCTGACTGTAAAAAGAAAACTTCAAAAGTAACCAGGAGCGACTTCTCTTGAAAATAGACAAAATTTGGCATCGTAGTGCTTGTTGTCAAATTCTTGCATAAAAAGCGTTTAACCTCCAAGAACATCCATTTTGACATTCAGCTTTATCAACAGTTCAAAAGAGGAAAACATTGATTGTGTTCCCCACATGGTGATGGATGACAGGAGACTGACTGTAAGTCAAATTAGCATATCTCGTCAGAGAGTTGAGAATATTTTGCACTATGAACTTGGCATGGTTTCTACTCGGTGTGTTCCATGTCTGCTGACACCTGATCAAAAGCGCACCAGGTTGATCATCTCACGGGAAACTCTGATATTGTCTGAACCATGTCCAGCAAATTTCCTTGAATGTCTTCTAACCTAGGATGAGTGTTAGATTCATCCTTTTTGAGCCAGAGAAAACGAGACAATCCATACTCGTCCTCATTTACTCTAAAGAAGGCCAAAATTGTTTCATCTACAGGAAGTTGATGAACACAGTATTTTGGGTTGGAAATGGCATTGTGTTTATTGACTATCTTCAAAAGGGCCACACCATCAATGGAGAGTACTTTGCCAATTTGCTGAAGCAATGACGAAATACTATGAAGACGAAATTCCTAGGAAAACTGTCGAAAGGGGTCTTATTTCAACAGGACAATATTCCATCTCACAAGTTCTTTATTTCAATAGCTGCTGTGCGTGACTATAGCTTTGGATTGGTTGATCGCCCTTCCTGTTCTCCTGATTTGACTATCATCTGTTCCCCAACATGAAAAAAAAAAAATGGAAATTTTATATGGGGCTACTTCAATTCCCTATATTTTGCAAACTTAATGAAAATTAATATTTTGCACACATGGTTGGGAACCAGTATCGCAGTGATGATGACATCATATCTGATATTGATGACTTCTTTTTACCAACAGAATGAACACTCTCCATTGAACTGTCAGATATCAATTTACATGGAAAGAAACAATGTCGTTATTAATAAGAAGAGTTGAAATTGTTAAATGCAAAATTTCACAACTCTGTCATCATTCCTTCATAGTCAGCCTATGAACCTTTCATAACATTCTCGTACCTGGAAAGAAACAATGTAGTTAATAATACGATGAAATGAATGCATGCAAGATTTCACAGCTCTAGCATTGCTCCTTCAGAGTCAGCCTAAATTTTAAATTTTCAACCCACTTCGTATATTAATTTCATCCCACCTTCTTATATTAAATCGACAAACTTATGGAAGGAAACATCTTTGCCAAATTTCAGTTGACCGACTTCCCAAACAATAAGACGTTATCCAATTTTTTCTTAAAAATAACTTTAAACTTACTTTATTTGAGTAATTCTTGAATTTATGATCGAATTATGGCAACTATTCTCTTGAACATTCCATAATTCTATTAAAGATGGCGGAATTAAAAAAAAATCTTAAAATGTCTTTCTTTATTTTTGCTACTTTTTTTATCACAACAGAAGGTATTAGTATAAAGTACAAATAATCAGCTTCTGATGATGTTTGAACCCGCGTTCCATATGCCAGAAAATCTTTTTTTTAATGCACAGAACAAATAAGGCTTTCGTAGACGACTTAGTTAAAGCGGCGTATCGTGCGTTGATTTAGAACGCAGTGATGGGGAAAAAAAACCCAAACCAAACCAAACCAAATCAAAACAAAAAAAAAAACAAAAACAAAAAACAAAAAAACAAAAACAAAAACGAAAAAAAACCAAAAACAAACATATAAATACAAAAAAAAAAAAAAAAGAAAGAAAGAAATAATGAAAATGGTGGAAATCGAAATACAAAGAAAAGCCCACCTAAAAAGCAAAGATATTTTATGCTTAAAATTTTGCCTGAAATACTTCCGATGTGTTATATTTTTGTTCATTTCATCGCTTTATTTTCTGCCCCAGTGTAACTGTTTTGTCTATTCGAATTGCACATTATATTTCAAAAGTGACTGCCATCATCGAAAAAAATATATATCTTCATTATTTCACTAATGTAAACGTTCAGCAAAAAAAAGCGGAAGAATTATAAGAACGAATCTGTCATCTCCTTCTCTGTGTCCAGCCTACGATTGGTCTGACACACTGTAAATTAATGTTTTTTCCCTTATGACACACGGGTGTCGTTTCGAGGAGGCGATAGGTGCCGGCTTCTGTCGTTCCATTGGTAAGGTGGAAGTCAAACCATTTATTTAGCAACAACTAAAAAGAGAAAAAAAAATACCTCAACTCATCGAATTCTTTTTTCACCTTTTTTTATTACTGAGGCATCGTTTTTCGCCTTTCAACCATTTTAACTACATAATAGTAAGGAACAATTTCAAATTTATTGAGTCAAAACATGTTAAAAGACATTTTTCAAGAAACAGAAGATATAATCTAATATTATACTATATTCATCTAATATATATATATATATATATATATATATATATATATATATATATATATATATATATACATATATTTATATAATATATTAAATGATGAAAAAATTTCTGTAATTTTCAGGTCAGGTTAAAATTTATTTCGTGGACCTTATGTCCATCTTTTCAGACCTGTTCAATTTATTCAGACACAAAGAAAAGGAAAAGAGGAAATATTAAATTATTTAATATTAAAATATTAAATTGAAAAGAAAATTTTAAATTAAAAGAAGAAATATTAAATTATTTAATATTAAAACTATTTCCTTTTTCTATTTTCTCTATCTTCTTTGTACTTTTTTCTCCTTTTCCTTTTCCTTGTGTCTGAATAAACTGAACTCCATTTATTAATGTAAAACTGGTCTGAAAAGATGGACGTTAGGTCAACGAAATAAATTATAACCTGACCAGATGGATTTTTTAAGATTCTGTATTCATTATTATATTGCTCTGTTCTTACATTGAGCTCTCTTTGGATCATCAATTAATATATATATATATATATATATATATATATATTTGATGACAGGATACCCAAGATCCTAATGCACAGCCAGTTAGATCAGGGCTACAGGAATGTAGGATGCCCATGGTTAGGATACAAGACAAGCTGGAAAAAATTGTCAGCAGTCAATATACCACATAACACGCTTAGCCTTAGAGCGGGTAGAATGGAGATCAACGTGTTTTAGTGGACTCAGCAGTTTTCAATCTGCTTGTCTGAATCATCTTCAAGAAGAGAGAACAAGATCTAAAAGGTCAGCCAATCTAAAAGTGATCTCATCTCACACTTGCTCCATATGTGGCCTCCTTTGTAAATCACTAGCGGGTCTTAAATGCCACTTAAGATTATCGCACAAAATTTCATAACTGAATCAAGTAAGCTCTCAGATCCTCATACGTCGAAACCGAGGGGAGAGTCAATTATTATTATTATATATATATATATATATATATATATATATATATATACTACACATATATATTCAACATTATCATAATATATATATATATATATATATATATATATATATATATATATATATATATATATATATATATATAGCGTTCCGTTGTTTACTGCTCCTTTTAAAACAGTCACCAATATTCCCCTTCTCATCATGTTCGCATCCTTCTTGAACATTGTTGGCTGGCCTTACAGAATCGCAATGAACTGTATCAAATAACAGAAACCACATCACTTGAAGATTGCTCACAGTATCACCAACTAAAATGGATAGCACATGTAACTCAAAGAGAAAACAATGACATAATCAAGATGTTAACGTTCCACATCACTTCAGATAAGAGGTTAGGAAGGAAACCCCCATTAATACTTGAAAGAGCAATAACATCTACTGGACTTGAGTAATTTATTTTAATGCAAAAACTTGTTTCAAGAGAAAGATTTTTATTAATTTCAACTGAGAGTAATTGAAGCTTTTCGTTCAATGAATAGTGAATGTTTCCTTAGAAAGAAACATTTAATATTACCGTTAGAGATTAGAAGAACAAATACTATATTTTTAACCCCTCGGTCAAGGAGAGAAGAAAAGCGTAAATCGAGTAGTATTGACTACTCGGTCTATGAACACCGAATGTTTCCTTATAAGAAAACGACTAATATTATGATTAACTTTAGAGATGAGGAAAACAGAGAGTAGACTTTGATTACATGTAGATGGATAGAAGAAAAGTGTGGCTAGAGGAGAACTAATTGGTCAATAAATGCCGAATGTTTGCTCATAATGAAACAGCTAATTGCATGACCATTAATCTTTAGTTTGACATCTCTTCCATTTCCTCAGATTCTTTAACTTTGAAAATCGCTATCAATCGCCAGGGCGTCCTGGGTATGACTATAAACTATCAATAACCAGGAGCCAAACATAGCGTGTAAAGAAGCCTGATATTCCTGGGTGATGATATGCTTTGTTAAAAACGCTGTACGAGATGTAATTTTGATTAGAAATGTTGGGCATTTTCCCAGTTCTGTAAGGCAAGGCTCATTCTTCAGTTTGCAACATCTTTCCGACAGACTCAACATTGCAAATGTCCAGGTGAGTTGCACTCTATCGTTCTACCAGTTCAGACTTTTACAGCGAGGACACACTTTGCTACTTCCACGGAGTCGAATCATCCTTATTTCCACTGTGTTCCAAATATAAGAAAGAAATTCCACCCAGCATTTTCCCAAGAACTGTCACTTTGTAGAATTGACTCTCGCATGGATCATTTCATGAACGCATTATAATCATAAGCTATTCAAGTCAAAGATCAATCGTTATCTATCCTCCTTATCCTCATAATCTTCACTTCCTGCCATCACCTCTTTCATTCATATCACACCACCCACTTCATTATAACTACTCCAACAATAACCATCAACGCTACAGGCTTATGGCCATATCACGTTGAAACACCGGTTCTTGTACGATTACCGAAGTTAAGCAACGTCGAACCTGGTCAGTACCTAGATGGGTGACTGCTTGGGAATACCAGGTTTTGTAAGCTTAGGTGTACCCATGGCGCAATGGATGACGAATTGCAAATCGGAGAGCCATTTTCCAGTTCCAATCAGATTCATTATATTCTCTTCCGCGCAAATACCATTGGGAAAACTATGAAGCCATCTCTTCCCACCTCTAGCTATGTCTTTTTTTTGGTATCTGTCTATATTTCTGAGATGAGGTATTGTGTACACTATTTACATTATTCGGACTATTGTCCTCATCTTTGTCGCCATATTTATTGCAACGTTTCGTCCATTGTACGCTCCGGCCTTCTTCAGGTGGTTGGAAAAAATAAATAAAGGGTTCAGTTCGACATTCCTACCACCAGAAGAAGGTTGGAGCGTACAACGGCCGAAACGTTGTAATAAATATGTCGACAAAGATGAGTACAATAGTCCGAATAATGTAAATAATGTTTTTTTAGTAGAACTTGTATCAGTAAATCATTATTATCTCCGAACAATTCTTACAATCTACAAATATTTCCTGTCTTTAAATAACCTCCAAAAAGGTTGATAAGTCATAAAAATCAAAATATCTACGCTACAATCTTAAACTCTTTAAGTTAAGGGCAAATCGTTATCTATCTCCCTTATCCTGATAATTTTAATTTCCTACCGCTTCCTCTTTCATTCATATCACGAACGTCATTCATCATAACCCTAACTACAGGTTGCCCAGTAAAAAATCGGTAAATTTATTATCACGGTTTTATCTTTCAGGAATAATTAACCTTGAATAACCTTGAATATATTTCTTGAATATTCATGACCTTGAATAATCACTCGACACATAATTACTTAATTCTGATTGGTTCTTTTATAATTGATTAATTGCTGCTCGATCATGTGACTCGTCACTTAAAGGGTATTCGAAGAGAACTTTCGTCTTTCTCGTATAACTAAACATCTCACTGATTTGAGCGTGAAGTTGTACTTTTCAAAGAAGATCATCCGACGTGGGAATGGATGAAATGTTCAGAAATTCTTCCTGAAATTTTCAGTCACATTAGTCGGCACCAATTTTCAACGGTTGTCTCACGTCTTTCTGAACTGACAGCTTCTTTTACTGGGCACCCTGGAGTTCAACAGTGTTCTTATACCTTGACTGGCTATCGAGTATTGTATTGGGTGAAATTATTGATACAAAAATGCTAAATGAATTCTGTGCTTTTTAAGTAAAGTACTGTCACATTTTGAAGGTGTTTCTTCCGTCTGACCACCAGAAATCAAAACGCCAGACAAAGCATCTCGCAGAAAACACACTTTGCTTTGGAAAGTGTTTTTGAATGCTAATACTATAAATGCCATTTTAGTAATTACAAAGTCTCTTTGAAGTTCGCCTCAGAAGTGATGGAATCCGTATTTATTCAATGAAACATTCGTAGATGGCTTTCTCGATGTACGACCAGAAAAAAAGTGTCAACAAAGCGCGTCTTTCTTTCGTAATGTGATTGTAAATGCGGTTCGGCATTTTCACTTTAGAAGCAACGTTCGACTGAGAAACATATTTAGTTCAAATCTCTCATACAAGTCATGTTCGAAATATATTTCCTACTTAGAGTTTTGTGGTTTTATTATCGATAAATATTCAAGAAATGTTTAAACTTATACAGAAAAAATGTAATTCCGGAAAATATTCTTGCAGATGGTGTTTGTTCATACTTAGAAATTTATTCAAATTTGTTAGGATGTAGTGAATTAACCTGAAAATATCAACAAAAACGTTCATGACTTGTTTGCCAATCGAATATTGATTACGTAGAGAAATGTATTTTGGAGTTTTGTTCATTCTCTCAACACAACCGAAATGTATAGAATGTATTGAGATCAACAAACAGAGAACAGATCCTTAACCCTAGAACACTAACCATCAATTAAAGTTACACTACTACTAACCTTGGGTATATCATACCCGATTTTGAAAATATCAAAAAAAAAAAAAAAAAAAAAAAAAATAAATCTTTATTTGAAATATTTTACATGCAGGCACTTCAAACTTTATGCTTTGAGTTAACTTTAATAGGAACTGAAAAACATATTATTTAGGTAAGAAAATCAGGTACTGAAAATTGTAATTAAAAATAGAAAAAAATTGTAATAAAAAAAAAAAATGCGCTGGGTACTATATACCCATAGTTAGTGTTCTCGAGTTAAACTGTTAAACACATCTCTGCATCCCTATAGCGATTAAATGCAAAGTTACTTTCTTAAAATTGTCTGAACAGCTAGGATTCTGGAATTAAATCGCATTTTTGAAATTATTCACAGTATTCATATTCGGACTATTATCTTAATCGTTTTTGATGTTATCCCAACGTTTCGGCCGTTGTGCCCTCCGACCTTCCTCAGGTGTATATCGGTCTGGGTATCCTATAGGGTATTGAACCATTTATTTAATCTACGGAGATAGACTGTTCTTGTTCTATTGCTCATATCTAGAGATATCGTTCACTTCTTATTTTTATTTAGTGTTGTTCAGTTATTTCTCGCCTGTTTCTACTGAGTGCAAAACTCTAGAAATTGAACTCACAACCACTATGTCACCAAATTCACAAACAAATGCCATTACCCACTAAGACAATTTGCTGTAGTAAACTTAGATCCTTAAACTTAACCCGACTGTTGATTAGGCTGCAACTGCTTCTGCTAGCTGCTATGTTTTGATTGCTGCAGCAATCTTTATTTATTGGCGGATATTATTGTATTTCTGTAATATTAACTTGAATCAGTCACAGTTAAATAAGAACTATACGCGATACACGCTTGGATGATCATGTCTTTTTCGATTAATGATTGAATAGGTAGAAGATTTTGTCGTAGGTTGCCATTTCTTTCTGCAGTAGACCGGTTGCCAACGAAGGCTGTAGGGCCTAGCCTGTCTTGTTATTCAATCCATAACTGGTGAGAGAAGAGCTAGATTCATACCTCTCCCAAGGGTATTTGCGCTTAAGTGAATGTAACAAACCCAACTGGAATTCGAACTCGGCTCGCTGATTTCACATCCATTAAACCACAACGCCCATTCTTTTGCTTGAATATACCTTCGTATTACAAAACGTTAAATAAATGTTTTTTAATCCATGAGCTTACTTTTAAAATATTTCTTTTCAATTTTTATCCGAAAAGAAAATTGGTAAGGTTTCTCCTGTCGAACCCAAGACTTGATTTATACCATAATATAGCTTCTATGTTTTACATATCTCTCTGCGTAGTAGTAGTCGTAGTAGTTCACTAGTTGTTCTCTATTTATACTTGTCTATCTAGTTTGCATACGATACTACACCTCCCTGAATCGGAGAAGTCGTATACTCTTGTTTTTTCTTTTACTATTCCTGATTATTTTCGTACTGTGTTGTCATTCCTCTTGTCTTTCTTGTTTTATTTTTAATGTTGATCTCGGTCTCTCTTCATTTTCTTCTTCATACTCGTCTGTCTTTTCATTCTCACTTTCTTCCATTTCCTGCTCTGTTCCATTTTTGCAATTTTCTGTCGCTTTTTGTTCTTGATCTTCCGTGTTTCTATGTGTTTTGAGTCGTCCAGCGACTTTAACGATCCTATCAGCGACGCCATTGTATGTTTTGCATCTCTCTTGCGTAGTAGTAGTCGTAGTACAGTTCTCCGTATTCTGAATAGCAATCGGGTTTGCTAGACATAGCCACCGTATGTTCGCCACTTGTTCTCTGTTTATACTGGTCTATCTAATTTGCATACGATACTACAATAGTCTTTATAAGAGAGCGCATACAGAGTTTTAAAGATGTGTGCAGAACAAGATATGAGCGTTGAACGGTCTCTTAAAAAACTTTTCTTTCTTCGACAACATTTATGAAAATTTCGATCTATCAATGTGGTCAACAACATTTTGAAATAAAAGCCGACGCTTATGGCGAAACTCGGAAACGAGTTGTCAAACAAGCGGTAATTATTGAGCAGACTAGATGAGAAATTGTAAGAGATGCTACAGAAAAAACAAACAAACATCAAAATGTATTCGGAAAACATTTTACTGATAATAAGCCATGTACGTGAAGCATCTAAATTTCCCGTTCACAACATTTTGGTCAATAACTTTCATGTATTAAGGAAATACAGCTGAAACTGTGTTTGTAAAAATGCCACAAAGAATCGAGATGTCAGTGGGCAGACATGATCCTCAATCTTAATTTGCAGAATGTGATCTGGAGAGACGAAAAATTGACGGCCTGACTACAACAGCTTATTTTGCTATGATCTATGACAAGAAACATGAAAAACGGTTGAACGTATGTTTGATGGTATTCTACCAAATGTCTTACCATCAATTCTATACGCCATGTTAGAGTTAACATTTATTTCTTTTTACATTTTTTTTCGCTACTATTAATACTAGTTTTGAATTTATTTTTTTCTATTACTGCATTAGCACTGTGTCACAGTGATCCGAATTCGTGACACTTATGGAAAACATTTACGGAAATGAAGATTTCTGAGCAGAACAGACGACCAAATAAAAGAGATGCTCTAGAATATATATAAAAATATCTATTTTTCTATATATATAAAATTCTGTGAAATCCTGTAGTCTGTCTATCAGTCCGTCACACCCTCTAAAATAGCCATACATTGACCAATCGAAACCAAATTTTGGGAAAAAGTGCAAACAGGTAACTGCAGAGGACAGGAGGTGGGGGTGGCGGTGAAGATGAAAAGAAAACACGTGCGTTTATATTTCCTGCTAGAAGGTCCAGCAACAATATGAAAATGTCGGACTCGGATTAAATCCAACTGAAGATAAGGAGGACAAACAAACAAGACAGATAGATATTAAAACAAATATGTGTATTAACAACAAATTACAAAGCACATAGACAGTTAACATTGTGTTTGTGAGTGAACATTTGTGTGTGTGTGAACGTTCGTATTTTGGTGAATGCTTGTAATGTTCATAGCGTTTTCCCAGAAATGGGAAACGCTGATCTTCTAAGAGCTTACATCTTGTCGCTGAAATGAAGAAGAAA